ACACACACACACACACACAGAGGCACACACTGCCTCTCCCCATGCTGTGCACCCAGCGACCCCATCCCTGCAGCTGGAGGAGCCCCGGGGACCACCAGGACCTTTCCCAGCAGCAAAGGGCCTCAGCAGCACCCCCAGAGCAGAAGGATGGCCAGGGAGGGCCCCCCCAGCCAGCGCAGCCCGGGTGACCGCAGGGAGCCTCCCTCCCTCCTCCTTCCTGCCCGGGGAAGCACGTGCGGCTGATGCAACCGCCCGCAATCGGGCCGGCGGGATGAGCTGGAGCCCCGGCAGGGCGGGCAGCGCTGGCAGCACCAGAGCCAGCACCGCAGTCGGGGCTGGCAGGATGAGCTGGAGCCCGGGCAGGGCGGGCAGCACCGGAGCCAACACCCTCCGTCCGCAGGGCCACCGCACCTCCAGCCAGCGCTTCCACACTGGCCACGCTTCCCCCCAGCCCTCCCTGTCCACACGAGCAGCCTCCCCCGGCTGCTCTCCCCTTCTCAGGGCCCGGCGAGCCCTCGGCATGGCGGGGTCTCAGCTGACATTCCCGGGGCGGTGGGCACCGGTGAGGACCCCCCAGTGCCGGCAGCGGGAGGTGAAGTGACCACCCTGGCCGGGATGTCCCCACGCCCCCCAGGGCTACCGGCAGCCTCCGGCCCCACATCTGCTTCGTAAGCGTCCCCGCCGGGGGCGAGGGGACGTTTAGGAGACAGATGCGCCCGCGCCGCCTCCGAGAGGGGCCCCCGCGGGCGTCAGCGCGGGCGCTCTTCTGGCAGGACTCTGGATAGCAGGCACTGGATAGCTGCGTCCCCCGGCCCCCCGTCCTCACTCACTCGAGGCCCCCGGCTTCTCCTCCGCCCTGGGGGGGTCCGCGGGGTGCAGTTTGCACTTGGAGGGGGAGTGGCGGACGGCGGAGCGGGATGGCCGGGCGAAGCAGGAGGTGAGGGACTGGGAGCTGCAGTCACACGCCGTGTCCTGCAAAAATAGACAGGGCACAGCGGGGTTAGAGGGGCCGGGCACCCTGACCCCCGCCACGGCGGGACACCCCGGGGGGCACCGTGCCTCGTTACCTCGCTGGCTAAGGCCGAGATGAGGTCGGGGTCCCGCAGGGCTGTGTCCTTACTGCCCTGCCCGGGGGACGAGGGCTTGGGGTCCTCGCAGCTGCTCTGCTTGAGGACCTTCTTGTTCAGGACGCGGGAGATGTTTTCAGCTGGGTGGTGGGTGACGGTGCTGGGGTGCTCGGCTCTCTTGCTGCCTTCCTCCCCAGCGGCCTCCTTCTTCTCCTGGGGGGTGGTGGGGCTCTGCGCCCGCCCGCAGACGTTCCTGAAGAACTCCTGCACGAGGCCATACTTGGGTGCTTCAGGCTTGGTCCGGCTGCTCTCAGGGCAGCCCGGCTTCCAGATGGACTCGGTGCTGCCCGCGTGCTCCACCACGCTGAACAAGCTGGACAAGCCGTCGTTGATGTTGCTGAGGACGGGGCTGTCGCGGGTGGTGGTGGAGCGGGCCCAGGCGGAGCCGTTCTGCTTGCCCTGGTGCAAGTTCCATAGGCTCCTGTCCTTGGAGGCGTCCAGCTTGGAGGAAGACCTCCTCTGGAGCTTCGGAGAGCCGTATTTTGGGGAGCAGCACGGCCGCTCGATCCTGGAGTGGACCTTATCCAGGGAGGAGGAGATCTGCTTGCTGCGCACGGACACGAGGGAGGAGCTGCGCGGGGACCAGCTCTTGCCGTGCACGCCGGCGCCCCGCGGGAGGTCGGTCTGGAGGCCGACGCTCACCGTCTGGATGGTCTGTGTCCCCACGTGGGCCAGCCCCACCGTCTGGCTGGAGGTGCTTTTCACCTTCCTCTCGAGGGAGCTGGAGCGGATGGCCTGCCGCACGCAGTTGGTGATCTCCTTCATGTCGTCGCTCATGTTGCCCGAGATCTCCAGGTCGTGCAGCGCCGGCGGGAAGCGCGGCACCGGCGGCACCGCGCCCTCCACCGCGCCGCCGTCCAGCAGCTCCCGCTGCTGCTTGGAGAAGTTGCACAGCCACTGGCTGTAGGTGCCCTCGGTGCTGGCCGACTCCTCCGGCTCCTTTGGCTTGGCCATGGTGAACAAGAACCCAGGTTCGATCATGATCTTGCCCTCCTTGTTGTGCACCAGAGGCGCCTCCAGCCGCCGCACCACCGGCGGGCTGTAGTAGATGCGGATCCCGGTCTTGTCGGGCGCCGTGTAGCTCCTCTGTATTTGTTTGTGGGCTGGGTCGTGCCCAGAGAGGCTGCTTGCCCGAGAGTAGTCCCAGGAGGACACGCCCAGCTTCTCCTTGGCCAGGCTGTCGGGGGCGGGTTGTTCAATATTCACATATGTACAGTTGGAGGGAGGAACACTGGCGCTGTCCCGGATCCCATTGGGCAGCAGCTGGGTGGCTGAGGATGATTTTTTGCCCCAGGCATGGTCACCCAGCCCTGGCATGGTCTTTCCAGGGAGGTAGGGAGAACAGTCGAGCAAGCTTTCGAACTCTGACATGGAGGAAACCGACTTGGTCCTGTGGGGAGAGGATTGGGATCAAAAGGAGACAGAGCAGCAGGCTGGGGGACAGTTGAAGGCACGCTGCTCCCACCACAATGGGACCTTCTTAGGCACCCAGTCCTACTCCTCATGGGAAGCCCTCGGCCTCCAGGACTACCCTGGACCATGGCTGCATCTCTCCCTGATTGTCAGGGATGTCAAGCCTAGGGGCCTTCTCTGTGCCCTGGAGACCATGCAGTCACCAGCATACTCACCTTTTGAGGTTGGTTCCCTTGGCTTCTGTTTCAGAGATTGTCTCCTTGTCTGTGATTTTCTCATTGAGAGCCTAGGAGGGCACAGGAGAAAGCTCCGGGGTCAGCCAGCACAGGACCAAAGCACAGAGACGGGCTGGAGCATGGGCTGCATCCTGCTCCCCTCCAGCACCACCAGCTTCCCACACATTCCCAGGCCCAGCATCCCATTCCCTGGATTGCATGGGGCTCACTGCATCCACACCTATTTTAAATCAGCTTTTTATAACCCCATGGAAGCTCTTGGGGTTCAGCTATGCCCTCCACCCTCTCATTCTTCCCAATTCCTGATGCTCCCATTTGCAGCATCATTTGCTGTTTAAGAGGGTGTTAACTGGGGTAAACACAACCCCCCCCAACCCTTAGCATAGACCTGAGCCCAACAAGCACCCCGAGAGCCCTCCACCTTCTCTTACCCACCTCTTTCCAGTTGCTGCCGTGCTTCTCCATTTCCGAGTGCTTCAATGCCCATGGGTTGGATCCTTTCTGCAACTGGAGAATGTGACAGTTATTCAACAGCTGCAATGTGTGCCCCTCTGGGCAAATGGCAGAGGCTGGAGGACACATTCAGGGTGGGGGACATCATACCTGGTTGAGTTTGTTCTGCAGGTCCTTTGCTTGCTGCTCTGCCTGCTGCTGCTCCTCCTTGAAGCGAGCCAGCAGCTCCACCTTCTCCTGGTTCCAGTTCTTCTCACTGATCTGCAGCTGCTTGGTGAGGTCCATGACGGCGCTGTAGGACTCTGCCAAGAGATGCTGGTGCTCCTCACGCTCCCTCTTCAGTGCCACCTTCCAGTCCGGCAGCGCTCGCTCTGCGATCCCTTTGCCTGCCTTTGACTCCAGCTGCAGGGACACATTGGTGGCTGTGAGGAACCCGTGGCTCCAGAGTGGTGCTGGACACCTCCAGCAGAGGGGCGAGGCTGCGGGCATCCCAATTCCCAGTGCTGGTCCCATGCTGCCAGCTCGGTCAGCAAGCGTGTCCCCAAGGCTGTGTGCTGTGGGCACCATGGCCAGACCTGGCTTGCAGCCACGTTGTGCCAGCTGGCCTGCCAGATGGTCACCCAGTGGGACACAGGCTGAACGTCCTGCCTGCCTGGCTGTGCTCTGCCCACACTCCTCCATGTGGGACCTGGCTCCTGGAGAGGGGCAGCACTGCCTGCAGGGCTGGCAGAGCAGACCCCGAGGATGCTGCTGCCACTGGGGTGCTGCCACCACAGCAGCTCTGCTCTCTTTTGAGGGGGAGTGGGGACTTGGGGACCACCGCTGAGCTCTGCCTGGAGAAATCCTGCCTGGAAAGCACTGGCACCTGCTCTAGGGAGCAGAGCTGATGTACAGCTGTGGGCTGCTGCCAACACAGTGTGATGGAGCGGAAACCCCTCATCACTGGGAGGGCAGGGCTGGGGGACCAACGGGACTGACTCTGCAGGCAGAAGCCCAGGCTGCCCTCCCTCCACCTCCTGCCCCCACCACAGCCATGCATTCCTTTTGCAGCATCCACAGGGATGCAGAGCCCCCACCTGCACTGTAACTCGGGAGAAGAGAGGAGGGCTGTGATGCCACCCTCAGATGCCTGTCCTGGGCAGGGATGCTGAGCCCCTGTCCCATCCCACCCCTCCATACAAACCCAGCAGAGGAATAAAGAGCATCCTCTGCTGCTCCACAGTCAGATTTCCATGCCAGCCCCGTTGCTATAGAAACTCGCCTGCCTGAGCGGCTGCTAATTAAGATTCCCACAGTGCCACCCTGCTCCCAGCCCTGCCCAACGGCCAGTGCTTGGCACGGGGCACAGGCAGACCCCCAGCCCCCAACCAGGCAAGGAGGGGGCTCTGCCAGCCCGCGGGGTGCCCAGGGCTCCCACCTGGGCAATGTGGCACTTGAGCTCGGCGCGCTCCATCTCCCAGGCAGCCTTGGCCTTGGTGAACTGCTGCTGCAGCTCGCTGGCCCCGCGCCGCTCCTCCCGCAGCTCCGTGCACAGCTCCTTCAGGGTCACCTTCATGTCGGCCAGAGTCTTGATGCACTCGTTGGGCTGCCGAGGGAGCAGGGGTGAGCACAGGGAGCTGGGACCCAGAGGGTACCCAAGGGGGTGGGACTCCATGGAAGCTGCCCTCTCTGCACCCCAGCCCTGCTCCCAAGGCAGGGACCACCCCTGGGGGTGATGTGTCTGCACTGAGCATCCCCACCCAGCCATGCACCCCGAGAGGAACCACCACTCCATGACACTTGGCAGCAGCTGTGTCAGCAAGAGCCCACAGCAAATACTCACTGGCCCCAGCGGCTCCTCGAGGGCAAAGCAACGTCACCCTGCAGAAATCCCCTCCTCCCTGCCCCAGCATGGAGTGCTGTGATTCCTGGGGCTTTGCAAAGTTTCCCCAAGGGCTGAGAGGAGCAGCTCCCAGGTCCCCACACTCCCTCCCTGCACGCTCATGCCCTCAGTGGTGGCCCCATTGCATCCCCATCAAAGCAGGATAAGGGAGCTCAGCCCCTGGGCTCCAGTCTGCACAGGATGAACCTCACATATGGCACTGCAAGACCACAGCCACAGCGGGGGCTGATCCTGCCCCGATCCACCCCTGGGCTTGTGGGGACCCCACTCACTGTGTTGGGGGTCCAGGTGTCCCCAGCACACATCTTGTTGTCTGCCTGTTGCTGTGGGGCGAGCTCCTCCTCCTCCAGCAGCAGGTACAGCTCCTTCATGCTGTTCACCTGTGGGAGACACCACGGCTGGGCTGAGGAGGGGACCCACAGCCCAGGGCCAGGGACAGGAGACACCCAAACAGCCCTGGGTGGGACGTGTAGGCACAAGGGACAGCCCTGGGGATGCCCAACGGCGTGTTCCCCTCTCCAAGGCAGCTGAGGTGGGAGCCCCTCAGCCCACTGTACCTCCAAAAAGTCCTCGCCCTCACTGTGCACCATCTTGCCCTGGCGCCAGCGCTTGAGGAACCACTTGAGCTTCATGAAGAGCAGAAGGAAGCTCTGCCTGAACTGCTGTGACTCCTGCACCAGCAGATTCTTCTCCTGGCTCCAGAACTTCTGCTCCAGCCGCCTCTGCAGGTTCAGGCTCTGCAGCTCAAACTCCCGCCGCAGCAGCGCTTTCTGGTGGTCCTCCTTCAGCTGTGGAGAGATGTGTGGGCTCCAGGACCTGGTGGTGTCTCCACCCCAGAGTCTGGGCTGAGCCTGGTGTCAGCCCCATATCCCTATTCTGGGGACCTGCAATGCCCTGGCAGTGTGCTGGGGACACCAGAGCCATCGAGGCAGCGCCACGGGGGAAGCTCTGCATGGCTGCACACCCATGTGAGAGGAGAGAGCTCAGCCTGTGTCCCTTGAAGGTGGGACATGCTGTGTGCGCTCCCAGGTGACACCCAGGTCCCCGAGTGGGTCATTGGGCTGGGGCTGGAGGTGACACAGCCACGGGTGTGGATGCCTACTCACCTGGCAGATCTTCTGTGAGAAGTTGTCCACCTCGTCCTTCCTCAGCTGCCTCTCCTGCGAGAGCTGCTCCTGCAGCCCCCGCAGGCTCTCGTTGGCCTCTGACAGCACCAGCTGCAGCTCCTTCATCTGCAACAGCCCGGAGAGACCACGGGGATGGTGGGCTGTGTCTGGCTGCACCTCCCTGTGTCCCTCCCCAACAGGGCTCTGCAGCTTCCCCAGTGCCCAGCCGTCACCCCTGTCCCACAGCCCTGCTGGCCCAGGGGACGTGGCTCCCTGCCCGTGTCATACCTCGGTGGCGTAGGAGTCGTTCTCCTCAGGCCGGCAGGTTTTGTAACTCCGGGGATGTGCGGGGTCCGTGTCCTTGGCGTGGGGGATGCGGAAAGGGTCGGCGTCCCTAAAATCAGGCTGCTGCATGCGTGGGCAAGTTAATGAGAACAAACCAAAAGAGCGGGAAGAAAAAAAAGCCAGAAAACAAAACAATGGGTCTCCGAAACAGTAAAGAACTACAAGACGACAAAAAGGATGATGAGGAGAAGGAGCTTCATCACCATGGCGGGAGACAATGCGGAAACCAAAAGGAAACACAGGATGAGGAGACACGTGGCCTGGATTGTTTGGGGAAAGGGGAAGAAAGAGAGAAAGAGGGAAAAAATGTGCAAACACCAGTTACGGTGCCATGCAGTGACTGGGGGAGACTGGGACCCGGGACTGGTAGGACCACATGCAGAAAAATAGGACTCTGAACAAGGGAGTGTGCTCCAGAAAAGGGGCTGTGCCCGCAGCCCCAACCACCACTGATATCCCTGGTTCCCAGCATGAGCTGGGACCCCTGAGAGGAGGGTGATAGCAGGGCATGAGCTGCTCTCCACTGCTCCAAAGGTGCTCCTCATTGGATGACGATTTGCCCTGGAGCCTTTGGTCTCCAAATTACCCTGCTTGGGCACCCCTGGGGGCTGAGGCTTCCTGCAAGCGGGGTCCCCACAATTTGGGCTGCCTTCAGGGGCTACAGGCTGCTCTCCTCCCACCCAGCTCATCCCCAACACGAAAGAGCTTCCAAGCTGGGGATGTTGGGTTGAGCAGCCAAAACATCAGCCCCTGATAAGGAGGGATTGCACCTGAGAGCCCCTGGCCACGGGCAGGGCAGCCTCGGCACGATCAGCCTGTGCTGGGATGTGCCAGGATGCCCACTGCCTCCTGCCCTGGGCACACTCTGTTGGAGCAGAGTCCTACCTTGTCCCCGGTGCCACTGGCATGCAGTGAGGTGTTAGTTTGGATTTCGCTCTAGAGAGGCAGGAGGGAGGTTACACTGGGGATCAGGGTTTGCTCCATTAAAGCAGGAGGAAATGGGGCAGCAAATAAAGCAGCAGCTGCTGTGAGGGATGTGGGAAGAAGCTGTACCTGGAAGTCGGAGGAATGGTCCTTCTGCAACCCCTCTTTGGTGACGTCATGGCTGCTGGGGCTGGAGAAGGGGAAAGAGTCTGTGTGCTCCTTGATGCCGCCGGTGAGGTGGTCCACCTTCCTCACGAGGCAGCCCAGGTCCTGCTGGAGCACTCCCAGGCGCATGAGGAGCACGTTCATCAGCTTGGCGTCGCTGGGGCTCTCACCACCACTGCCCACCGCCTCGCCCAGCAGCACCCCCGCGCACTCGTTGTCCAAGCAAGCCTTCAGCCCGGAGGTGAAGCCGTTGGCATCCGAAATTAAGACGTCGATCGCTTTGCTGACGAGCGTCGCCTGGTCCCTGATGCCCAGCAAGGTCTCCAGGTCTTTGGGCTTGAGCACCTTGGCGGGGCCATCGAGCACCTTCCCGTTGCCAGGCACCCTGTCCTGCCCGTCGGCCTCGCCGCCGCCCGTGCCGTCCCTCCAGCCGACAGTGGGGACGCACTGTGCCGAGTCTCCGGCCTCGGCATCGGTCTCCAGCATGGGCCGGGTGGTCTGGCAGGAGGCCAGGTCGCAGCGCTGCAGGTTGGAGAGCAGCACGCGGTTCTCGTACTGCAGCTTCTTCACCTTCCCGCTCAGCTCGCTGATCTGCACCTTGGCCGTGGCCAGCTCCTCCTGCGAGGGCTCGCTGACCACCGAGCAGCTGTCCTCCGACAGCGTCACGTCCAGCTCGTGGTCCGACTTGTACTTGCTCAGCTCGTTCAGCAGGAGCTTGTTCTGGTCCTCCAGCTCCAGCAGCGAGCGCCTCAGCAGCTCGGCCTCCTCCTCCACAAACTGCAGGTGCCGGCGCAGCTCCGCCACCGTGTCCCCTCCGTCCCCGCAGCTGGAGATGCCCACCAGGAACCGCGTGTCCTGCCCCGGCAGCTCCCTGTCCCCCTGGCCCTTCATGTCGTCCATCTCCGCCCGCAGCCCGCGGTTCTCCACCTCCAGCTCCACTATCCTCCGGCTGAGGATGTTGGCTTCCTCCTCCACCAGCTTGAGGTGCACCTTCAGCTCGGCCTCGCGGGAATGGGGAGAGTCAGCCAGCTCCTCCACAGAGAGGGAGCTGTCCAGGTCCCCGTACAGGGACCGGTACTTCAGCAGCTCCTCCTTCATCCCGTCGTTCTCCTTGGCCAGCTTGGTCAGCTTCTTGCACATCAGGGCCGACTCCTCCTTGGCAAAATGCAGCTGGCACTTCAGGTCTGCGCTGTCCTCCTGGGGACACAGAGGGCGTGGGTGTTAGAAAGGTGCTCACAGGGGCCATGGTGGCTCTGAGAGAGCCCTGGGGACATGCCACCCTCCCACCCCAGTCAGCCCAGGGAAGCTGCAGCCACCCATGGAGGGGAAGAAGCTTTGAGATCTATCCTGGAGGCTTTCAGGGACAGCACCGAGCCTGGGCAAGGAGACTCATGGCTCTGGCCCCAGGAAGGACATCGAGCCACCAGCAGGGATGTGTAGACCAAGCCCAGCCCAATCCACCACAGGGCAGAGGAGAAAAGAAAGCTGTCAAGACTCCACAGGGCAAAATAAAAGTCACCAAGGTTTCCTCCCAAAAGCCAGCAAGCACTGAAACAACTGGCACTGCTGCCACTGCACTGCACCCTCCCCTAGGCTCTGCTCCTCCCACTCAGCCCTAAACAGTCCATCACAGAGCAGAGAAGCGGCAGTTTCAGCTGGAAACCTCCCGAAATCCAGCCCTTGGTCTCGCTGCCACCACTTTGCCAGGAGACTGAAAACCCAAGCAAAGCCTCAGCATCAGCTCTCTGGTCCCTTCCCAGCCCCTTTGCTTCTCAGGACTGTTTCTCTGTGTGTTTGGGTTTTTTTTATTATTTAGCAGTTAGGACCTTGGCTATTTGCCCAGACAGACCGCTCCTCTGCTCTGGGAAGCTTTTTGGATGGAGGACCAGGATTTCCTGACGTCCAGCTCGCAGCTTCCCGTGCCGTGGGGTCACTTGAGTGCTCTGAGCTCTGGTGTGGTGGCTGCCAGGAGAGGACCTGCCTGGCCATGACCCTCACCCTGCTGCACTCGCTGGAGCTGGGTGGGTGCTGGAGGGGGCCAAGCCCTTTGGCCAGGTGGCTGGTGGCCCTGGCAGCCCTTTTCATAGCTGAACTCATCTCCTTTCCCCTTTTCCTGGCTGGCAGAAAAAATCTGTCCCCCTCTTTGGATGTTCCAGGCCCCAGTTCTCCCAGCCATGCCCACCCTCACAACCCTAAACCCTGCAGCAGGTATTTACTCTGCAAACTTCCAGGACTGCTCATAACAAGGGTGATGGGAAGGGGGGGGATCCCATGAGTTTGGGGTGACATTTCATTCCCCAAATGTCCTGCTGTGACCACAGGAACCACACTACTGCTGTTCTGTGCTCGTGCACAGAGACATGGCCTCGTTAAGGAGCATTAAACTGCATCCCCCTAATTAGCTGTGGAGATTAGGGGAGGGCTGGCGGGCAGCTCTCCCCACCAGGGCAGACATGACCTCAGTTCCTGTTTTTCCAGGGGGAAAAAAAAAGCAGCGGCCCGGCGTGTCCCTCTACCCCTCGGCATCTCCAGAGGGACACACACATCCCCAGGACCCTCTCGAGTGCCCCTGGGGTCTGGGCAGACCTTGGTGTCGAGTCTGTCCCCCACAGCTCCATTTTTGGTGAGTGCTGATGCTCACCCAGCTCGGCCAGGCAGGAAAGGGGCCCAGGAAGCCACCAATGAGTCACAAGCATCTGTGCCCGCAGGGCCACCAGCCCTGCCACTGGAGAGGGAGCGGATGGAGGGGCCACATCCAGGGGCATTTGCACCCAGGGAAGCCCAGGGTGGGCTCCTTCCTGAAGCATTAGTCCCATCACAGAGCTGGGGCTGCATCCAGCTCTGCATCCCCAGGCTGAGGGGTCTCAGCTCCGCAGGGGTGTGGGAAGCAGAAGGGGTTTTACTGCTGCCAAAAGCTGGGGGTTGTTTCCTGCCCCAGGAGGAGACAGAGGAGGGGCTTCAGCCTTGGGAAAGGGGTGATGGAGGGGCCTCCTCAGCTCGGGGCAGGGCCGGCTGTAGGTGCAAAGCCACAGTCTGCTCTCTGGGGAAGTGGGGGAAGGACGCTGGGCTGGCCGGAAAAGGGATCTCGAGGATGGAGTTAAAGAGAAATAACAAATGAACGACTGAAGGGGAAAGTCTTTGAGGGCCTGGGGATCCCTGTCCTGCAGCTGCACAGAGTGGGCTGTGCCAGCAAGGACACAGGTCACCCAGAACCCCTGGGCTGCTCGGGGTCCCTGCCATGAGATGCTCTCAGGAGTAGCTTTACAGTGTCTCCTTCCCTGCTCCAGCTTTGGGGGAACAGATCTGCTCCCTAAAATAAACCTTTCATGTCTTTTTGCCTTTGAAAGAGGATTTTTCCTCTTGCCTTTCTATCCCAGCAACAGCAGCTCTGCCTCTCCCAGCCCTGGTAACAGCATTAGCGAGTCACAGTAGCTCAGCCCAACAGCAAGTGACAGCTGAAATCCTGCTGCCACCGGCAAATCCCCCATCCCCTCCTCTGCCCCGGCAGCCTGCGAGAGGCAGGGACAGCGTGTGGCCTCCAGCCATGCCCCGTGGGGACCCTCTGCTCTCCCAGACCCCTTGAGGTTCCCAGGCCACTCCCAAGCACAGCTGTTGACAGGCAGAAGAGACCCAAGCTGCAGCAGCCACAATCCAAGGGCATGAGCAGCTTTGAAACGTAAAAGCCAAAGTCCTTCAGCTCCTTACACAGGGAAAGGGTTAAAGCCACCGCCTGGCCACTGCTGCTCCATTGATAAATGAGACAAGGGAGCGGCTGAGGACAAAGAGGATGGCCCAGCACATCAATCCCTCCCTTATGCGGGGGCTTTGAGAGGCAGGAAAGCTCTGCAAAGCCCTGCAAGGAGGGGATGGCACTGCCATGCCCAGATTTAGTCCTGGGCTGGGCGTATTCTCCAGCTGGCACCATGACCTGGGTGTTGGTGGGTCACTGTGGCGTGTCCTGGATGCACTGGCACTGATACCTGCACTGATGGCTTCTTCTCTGTCTTCCCAAGGGAGCGAGACCCCCGCTTCTTGAGGGAATTCTGCAGAGAGCAGAGAGAGCTGTTACCCGTAGCAAGCACACAGCACCCGACTGCAGACAGACAGACAGACAGACAGATCCAGCATGGAGGGACATCCATGCCAACTTTTCCAGCTGCTTGTGAACCCCAGGAATACACCCAAGCCCCAGTGGGCTGAGGGAGGCCCTTTGCTTGGAGGGAGCTGGACTGGCGAGCATCACATCATGAGGTTTGGCCAGAAATTCCCCCTGCAGGCAAGTGAGCAGTGAGAGAGCAGGAGTGAGCAGGAAATGAGCCATGGAGAGTGGAGAGGCTGAGTCACAGTCACTGTCAGGGCTGGATGGAGCAGGGAATCCAACCCCCAGGCCAAGGGACAGCTCTCAGGGCTTTCCAGTGTGAGAGCAGCAGTTGATGACATTCCCCATCGCCTTTTCCCCAAGCAAGGGACATGTCCTGGTCACTCAGCTATGGCGAGGGCTCCTCAGCAGGACAATGCTGACTCTGCTCTCAGGGTCTCTGGGGACACAAGGGACAATGTCCAGGCTAGTGAGGACAGCTGGGAGATGGGGAAGGCAGGCAGAGCAATAAGGGAGACCAAAAGTGTGAGAAAAAAGCGGGTGCTCAGAGCACCCTGGGGAGGGGAGCTGGGGGAAAACCTTCAAGAACATCCACACAGCCCCCATGAGCACGATCCATGCAGCTGCCCTGGACCTATTTCCAAGCTGGTGCTGAGGCCCAACAGCCAAAGAAAGCAGCTGTGAAATGTAAGCTGCTGCCTGTGCCAAGGTGCCGGGCTCCAGGCTTTCCTATTAAGGCCACGACCATCACTGGAGCTGCTGGAGCTGCAGAGCCTCTCCCAGGGGCTGGCTGTGCCACGTCGACATCCCTCACCCCCACTGCGCTGGGGACTGGGGCTGGCACAGGACATCACCAGCCTCAAACAGCCCCAAGCAGCCCAGGCACAGCACCCTGGGTCAGGGGACATTGCTCCACCTTGGGAGCATCCCTTGGGGTGGCTGTACCTGAGGGTCTGGTCACAGCCTAGCTCCACGTGGCAGGTTTGGCATGGGGTACCCGGATTGGTCCTACTTTATTCCTGCCCCCCAGGAGATGCCATGGAGGGGTAGAGCAGAGAGGAAAATGCCTGTGCCTTTGGGGATGATCCCCAGACAATTATCCAATTATGGGAGAAACCTCTTGGAAGGGAGAAATAATCAGCCCCGAGGGGTGAGCCCAGCCCTGTGCAGCCTCTTGGCTTGGCTGCTAACGAGCTCTGCCAGGCTCTGTGCCCTCCAGCAGCAGGGAGGAGGTGGAGGAGGGCTGTTAGCTCACTTTGACTAATGTTTGCCTAATTAGCACTCTGCAATCAGTGAGTAACCCCAACGCCCTTGCTAGCCTGGGGACACTCCATCCCGAGCTTGGGGACCGTCTCTGAGCTTGCACCCGCCAGCAGCATCCCCCCTGGGCTCAGGCAGCTGCAGAGGGGTTGTATCCTGTCCTGTCCCGCGCTCTTCAGCCAGGGCAAGGCAGCAGCTGCCTCTCGGAGCAACCCTCACACTGACCACGCAACCATTTTCTCTGCCTGTTTTCCAGGCGCGGGAGTGCTCCCTCCCAGCTCCCACCGCTGCCATTTGTTATTCAGCCCGCGCTCCCGGCTGCAGGGAAACCCATTTCATGGCTGTCAGTGCAGCCTGCGCAGCCCAGGGACGAGACGCCCCGTGCGGGGGACACTGCTCCGTGTCACCAGCGGGAGGATGGCTGAGAGGGGACGGGTGTGACCACGGCCGGGTCCTGCAGCTCCTTCCCAGGAGCTGGTCCCGGCATTAAACGGAGCTGGCCCCAGAGATCCCAAGCCGTGTGCAGGAAGCACGGTGGGGGAAGTGAGAGCTTTCCCTTCCCTGTGTCTCCTCCCCCACACTGCCCTGATGGCTCAGCCAGCGGTGCTTCCCGAGGCCCCCCGGGACCAAAGGCATCCCGGGCAGTAAGGAAGTGGGTTACAAGTGCTGCAACGGATCACAAGTCCATGCTGTCACCGGGATGCCTTTCCTATCACCAAGGATAACATCCTGCCAGGAGCTGGTCCCAAATGCGGCACAGAGCGCTCTGGACCTGTGCATATGGGTACATGTGTGGCTGCCCAGGACACAGAGGGGGCTGTGCACCCACCCAGCTCTGCAGCACCACCAGGACACCTTCAGGACACTGCTGGGACACCACTGGGACACGGCTGCCACGCACCCCATGGCTCAGCCCAGTTTGAACCAGCAGCATGTGGTCAGGATACATCCAGCACCGGGCACTGTGCCAGGGACACACAGACTCCACACATCATGCTGGGCTTTGCCCAGTGGGAGTTGGGCACAGCCCAGGTGGCCAGGCTGAGCAAGTGGCTGAGGACATATAAAGTGTCTCTAGCACAGGGGGGGAAGCCCTGCAGCCCCCCTAGATGGGGCAGAGCCAGCCCGTGCCCGCAGGGTGGGATGAATCGTGCCGAGGGCAGGCACTGCTCAAGTTTCACAAGCATCTGCAGCGGGGTTTGGGTTTCAGTGACTCAAGCAGGGTTGGGGGATCCCATGATTCAGGGCCAGGACACCTGCTACAAGCAGAGCCTTGGGGACTCCTCCCGGGGCCCCCTCCCGTGTCCCCCTCACCTCTCGGAGCTTGTCCATCTCGTTCTGCACCACCTGCTTGGCCAGCTCGGTCTCGATGAGCCGCTGGCGCAGGTCCTCGTTCTCCTCCTCCAGCCTGATCCTCTTCTTCTCCACCACCTCCAGCTCATTGTGGAGCCGCACAGAGACGTCCTTGGCCACCTGGGGACACAACAGGGGTCTCATCAGACTGCCACACTGTGCAAGGGGGCTGGGACTGCAGCTCCTGGGAACCTACAATACTCATGCAGAGAACGTCAGGCTGTTACTGAGATCCTCTGGAGCAGACACTGGTGGGCGACACCCTGACTCCTGTGTGTGCCCCCATCCCCTGGCCAACCTGCCTCCTCCATCTCTAATCCAATGCTGTTGTTGCCTTTTTCTACCTTTTTCCCACACCATGAGGCTGGAAAAGCCCCCAGACAGTTGGAAAATCTGTTGGGAAGCATCAGAACAGGCAGCCTCTCACTGTGGGCAGCAGCTGTGCTGGTCAGGAGAAAGGCGAGCTGCTGCATCACATTACAGAAAAACCAGCAGCTGCCCCGAGGTGATGGGTGCCTACATCCACCTCAGAGCCTGCCCTCTCTCCAGATCCCTGCAAGGGAGCAGCCCCTGGCATAAAGGGAGCTTAATAGCAGAAAACATTCACTCTTGCTTACATAGGAAGGGAAAAATTGTCCCCAGTGCCCGTGTTCCCCTGCACAGCCCAGGACACCAGCGCTGAGGAGGAAGCAGCAAGCCCCTCTGTAGGGCTGGGGGGGCTCAGGCCATGGGGTCAGGCTCCTGTTCCCCCAAGGATGGGCTGTGCTTTCTTTCCCATAAAGGGAGAAGCCGGAGGAGGCGTTTTTGGCAGCAGCAGCCCAAGCTGGGGGCTGATGGGAGGTTTGGGGAGGGGATCAGGGCCCCAGCAGGGATGGGCAGCACAAGGCGGGTTCACAGCCCTACACTTGTGTCACCAGGACCGGCTGTTTTCTGCTCAAAAAACAAAGTTAGTCCTCGAGCTGCTGCCCATCCATGCAGAGCTGTCTCCAACGGGCACCGCACCCCCCTCCTGGCAGCAGCTGTGTCAGCAAGAGCCCACAGCAAACACTCACTGGCACCAGTGGCTCCTCAAGGGCAAAGCAACGTCACCCTGCAGAAATCCCCTCCTCCCTGCCCCAGCCTGGAGTGCTGTGATTCCTGGGGCTCTGCAAGGTTTCCCCACAGGCTGAGAGGAGCTGCTCCCAGGTCCCCAGGGTCCTGGTCCCCACACTCCCTCCCTGCACGCTCATGCCCTCAGTGGTGGCCCCATTGCATCCCCATCAAAGCAGGATAAGGGAGCTCCAGTCTGTACAGGATGAACCTCACATATGGCACTGAGACCCCCATCCTTGGGCCATGCTGGCCATCTCCACCCCGAGATGTCCTCAGACCTGGGGTCTGAGTGCAGCCAAAGCACTGCTCCCACTTCTCACATCACCACCGCTCGTGGGGAATCGTGATGTCCCCATCGACGGCCTCACAAACAGCACAGCCCCACGGAGCTCCCCACGCCCCCACACCTCCACGGCCACAACTCATCAAGAACCACTGTGGGGGCCCTGCCTGGGTGGGGATGTCCCCTGCCAGGCTCACCTTGACGTCCTGCTCGAGGCTGTGGATGAGCTCTCCGTCCACCTGGCCGGTCTGTGCCACGCGCAGGCTGCGGCGCTCGGCCTTGCGCAGCCGGTACTGCAGGATGCGGCACGTCTTGCTGGCCTGGTCCAGCTGCTGCCGGAGCTCCTGCAGCTGGTACACGTCCTCCTCCATGTAGACATCCCTCATCTCCAGCATCTCGGCGCGCAGCTCCTCGATCTCATCCTGTGGGGAGACGTGTGTCAGAGGGGGCAGACCTGTGGGACATCTCGCCACTGTGGCTCCCCTGCCCTCCTCCACCCCACGAGCCATTTTCACAGACCTTCAACTCCCTGGGTCAAGCCCAGTTCTGGCAGGAAAAGGGCTCAGAGCCAGCTGGGCACCATCACCCACAGGTGAGCCAGACACCCGTTGGGGGGGAACAGTCAACACGGGCGCCTGAGAATATTTGTGGTAAAAGAAAGAGGAAGGTGGGGGAGGGAGAGGAGCTGCAGAAGCAGCTCAGGCGGCAGCCACGGGGAGAAAAATTAGGTTATCTTTGGAAAAGATGTGTCAGGGAGGCAAGGGAGGGAAGGAGGAGACGGCAGGTGAGGACAGGGGAGGCAACACAGGGACATGAACGAGATGCCACCAGCGAGGGGAACCAGAGCTTGCCCCTTGTTTTGCCAACAAGCAGCAGTCAATGAGCTGGGTGCCCACTTCCACCCCTTCCCAGTCCCATCAGCTCTCCCAGGGATGAACCTCTCCCAGACCAGCACAGCCTCTGGCATGAAGCCTTTGCACCACTGTCACAGCAGGGCCAGGGGTTGCTGGCACCAGCGCCAACCCAAAGCATCCTCCAGGGTTGCAGCACACAACTGTTGTGGAACCCCCAGTGCCACCCCCTCATCCAGCACAGGGCTGTGGCCACTGGGAATGCTCAAGGACTGTCCCCTATGGATCCACACAGGCTGCACTGCCCAAAGCTCCTTTCATGTAGCCATGAACATAGATTCAACCCAAATCCTAAGCAAATGCTCCAGCCATCACACCGGCTGTTCTCCTCGACAAGAGCCAGTGGACCCAGCACACTCCTGCTAAGGGATCAAGTACCTGCATTCCTGCCAAAAACCCTGCCACTAAACACCACCCACTGCTGCCAAACACAACTGCCACTTGAGAAGCGAGGGGCTCACACTGCCGCCCTGCACCATGGCATGGCCAGGGGAGGGACACGAGGATCCAGCACAGGCAGTGGGGATGCTCAGCCCTGATTCACCCTGGGCAGAGGGGGACAGGACCCCCCTGCTCCCCACACTGCCCGTGACAGTGTCCTAGAGCCTGAGACCGCAGCTCTGTGCCGGCTCTGCCAGGCATTGGCACCGCGGCTGCCGTGCTCGCCCAGCCCAGACAAAGCCCCAGCTGCAAGAACTCCCCAAAAGGCAGAGCTGAGCCCAGGGAGGGGGGTGGCAGCTGCAGGGACAAGTCACAGTCACTCACTGTTGGCTTTAAACACTTTGTGACAAAGAAGGAACGTCAATTAGACAATCCCAGATTATCTCCTGGCCTGGGCTGGCAGAGCCCGGTGGCACCATGACCACCAGTGTTCGGCCACCCTCCACTGCTCTGCTGCTTGCTGGGGGGTCTTGAGAACAACTGCCGAGCAGAAATAGCCTGAGGCTCCGAGATGGGCTGCGGGAGGTCCCAGGGACAGCCAGCCAGGCTGTTCCAGGGACAGCCAGCCAGGCTGTTCCAGGGACAGCCAGAGACCGCCCTGTGAAAGGGCATCACTGCAGACATGTTTTGGAAATGCCCCCAGACACCTGAAATCCCCCCGGATTTCAGATGTGAAATCCCCCATGGATGAACCACATGTGCTGGCAGACAGCCCTGTGATGGCTGTGACACATCCTGGGGTGACAAACTCGATGGGAACCCACCCCCATGGCAGTGCCACAGCCCTGGGGACACCAGCAAAACCCCCCCAAGCCAAACCAGCCCAGGGAGCTGGTTTATGGCATCTATTCCTTGGGAGCTTCCATAAGACAAAAAGCATTATGGATTGCAGGTGAGCAGGCGCAGTGCAACGGGTGGTGGAAAACAGCCTCTCGCCACCAAAGTCAGGAGAATCGTGGCTTGAATACAATTCCAATCCCACTCCAGCACGGACCATTCCCGCTCCCGTTTGCTATGCGGCTTCCCCAGGCAGCAGCTGAGCAGGGCAGGGAGCAGGGACCTTGGAAAAATCCCAACCAAACCTTGCATTTGCTTGGAAGGAAGCCTGGGCTTGCCCTGCTAAGAGCTCCTGCTTGTTTATGCCTCGAGTTGTAGCAACCGTTATTTTAGGGGGAGGCTGTGTCCAGCGTGATCCACAATCCACGGCCTGGGCAAAGCCTGGAGGCACAGCCCTGAGCTGCTCCTTCACTGCCTGCTTCCCTGTGGAGTGGGGCTGGGGGATTTTGAAGCAGGGCTGGCACTGGGGGGGAGGCTGGGAAAGCAGTGCCTCCCTTCACTGCAGCTGCAGGAATTTACCTGCATCCTATAATGCCAATAAACCCTTGGAGTGGCCACAGCCCGGCAGCCCCAGCTTGCCCCAAGGAAGGAAGCCACGCCACTAAGCCATAGTAAAGGGATTAGGACTGGGGAGTGGAAAAATGCCAGCTAACTGGAGGAGACCTTAGGAGGGTAGAGCTGACCTCCTTCACAGCCAGGCCATGGCAAAAGAGCAGCCCCGTGGGGTCTGGAGGCAGCACAGGGGGCTCTTTATGGATTCAGGAGTCTGTGACAGCCACTGAGCCTCACCCTGTGCATCTGCACACCTTCCAGAGTTGATGCCCAACTCAGCAAAAAATCCATTGGACTAAGGTGAGAGCAGAGCCAGGGGAAGGGAGGAACCCCACAGAAACCCCACAAATTCAGGGGGTGGCACTGTGAGCGTGGTGCACCGTAAGCAGTGCTACATGAAGTGCGAAATGGAGACGAGGTGGGCAACACTGAGGAGGAGATAAATGACTTCTCTCCAACACAGCTGCTGTGCTCAGCCACTTGTCCCATAAACAACAGGGTGCCCACCCCTGTGTGCAGTCACAGCCTCCAAACACTCCTGGGGTGCTCCATCCTCCAGAATTACCCACTGCTGCATCCTGCTCATCCTGTCTCTGCAGCAGCAAAGATTTCATGGTGTTTTTACACCAGAAATCACCTGACTTGGAAAAGACACTGGGAATCTGCAGTCCAGGGAGACTCATTTGAATGCCCAAAGGACTGTGTGCAGAAGCAAACAGCCCATTTTGTGTCTGCAGGAGCCAGGTTACCCTCGATGGAGGAGCCCAAGAGACAACCTTCCTTCAACCTCCTCCGCACAAACCTCGGAGACAACTGTCTCTCCCTAGGGAGGTTATTAAGGAAACTAAGAAGCGGAAAGGTGGGATGCAAAGTGCCTGGTTCCAGTTCAGGAAAAAGGAACCATGCATTTTCGGAGCAGGAGGAGGTAACAGCCGTGTCCACACATCCACTTGTAGGACAGCAGCTCTTCCTGGAAGGGCAAGACCTGGAAAGGGCTGAGCTTTAGGGTGATGGCCCTGAGCAGCGGCAGGGCAGAAGGGGGGCCAGTGGGGACAGCAGAGCACACCTCAAAATGCAGACCAGACCCATCAAAGGTTGCAGAAGAAGAGTTAAACCTTTGGATCTCCTGCCCAAGGGGAGTTACCTGCTGGCTTCAGTGAGTGCAAGAATGCAGTGAGCTCAGAGCAGAGCAGGGCACTCTGCGCAATGCCGGCAGCTCCTCAGCAGGACCCGCTATCTCTGGGAAGCAGAAAGCAGCCAGGGATACAAAACAGGATCATGCAAATGCCGCCATGGCTGGCTCTGGAGCCGCTGCCAGCACACACACCCTCACTTTGGCAGCCCCAGGCTCTGGGGCACAGCCAAGCAGCAGCCGCCTGGCCGTGGGGGACGGGCAGCGCTTTGGGGGGCACAGCCCTGCCTGCATCCCCCACCAGCACCCCTAAACCTCAGTGCGGGATGTAGAGGAGGAGAAAGGCTGGAAGCTGCCTGGATGTTTTGCAGTGATGCCTTTGTGCAAATCTCAGGGTCCTGCTGGCAGCGGCTGCGCCTGCGGCTCCCTCCCCTCGTGCAAAGACAGGGATTACCGTGCAGGAGCAACAAGCACCGGCTTCCTCCGAGATTACAGGACAAAAGCAGCAGCTTTCAATTAACTCTGAGCGCCCGTCAGGCAGGAGAGGGAATTATGCTAGAATTTGATAGGGAGAAAATAAAATCAGAGGGGTTTTTTGAAGGAAACTGCCCAGGGTGCTCAGGCATGTCCCTTTCTAGCCAGGGGTTCCCAGCAAATGCAGCTCAGCCCGAGCCTGTGTTGGGGTGCAGTGGGTGGAAGGATGGGCAAGGCACACCCATATCACACAAAAGGTGTGATTTTTCTTTTAGGTGCATTAACAGCAGCTCTAGCCTAGCTCTGACAGCAAACACCAGCCATCCTTCCCTCCACGTCACGCTGGATGGAGCTCAGTGCAGCACCCTGTGCACTGATCCCTGCCCCTGGCCAGCACACCAGCTCCCACTCAGCACTGGGAGTGAGGGAAAAATCAACATTTCTCGGCTTTACGCCTGCCCCCATAAATTCACAGGCAAACAGCTGGGGGCTCTCTGCAGCCCAACCCCATGTCGTGCACCATCCAAAAAGGCAAGACGCTGCAAAGACCTTTCCATGGCAAAGCCATGTGCCCTGGCTCTGCAGGTGGTTACTGGGATCTCTGGGAATTGTCCCTGTCCCTGTGGCTGGGTAGAATCTGAGCAGCAGCAGAGCAGGGCCCCAGTGCCAACCAGGCTGCCCAGACACAGCCTCCAGTGCCCCTTCGGGATGCTCTGAGAGCCCTCGCTGGTGGTATGTGCTGGTCCCTGACTGCCTTGGGGAAAACAAGGCACCCACTCACTCTGCATGTTTCTCCTAGAGCTGGGAAATGCATGCAAACCCCGAGGGATGTGGGATGACTCAGGGCAGGGAGCGGGAGGGGGACAAGCAGCAGGAAGGCACAGGCAGGGCTGTGCTCCCAGCATTATATGGCTCTTGCCTAAACCCCTTCCCGCAGAGAGGAGAGGAAAGGGTTTGCAGGCATCCCCTCCCCTCGCTCCAAACCCTCTCCATGCCCACTCTTTGTCTGCCTGTCCCTCCGCAGCTGCTGCCGTATCACATCTCACATTTTCCAGCCCGCTGAGCAGGGCTGGGAGCTGCTCTCCAGCACACGGCTCAGCGACAGCGAGACGGGGCAAGGACACCCAAGACACCTCCTCCCTCACCAGGCTGCCAACCTGCACGTGAGGAACGGCCCCTTTTTGGGAAAACACTTGGAATAACCCATTTAGGGAGGGTTACAGCAGGTGCACCACCCTGGGAGCGGGGACAAGAGGAGGCACCGGCCCGCCTGGTGCTCCCAGGGTGGAAGGAGGGAGGCAGAGCCTTGCACAGATCTGGGCTGCAAAGAGAAATGGGTGAAGTGTGTTTAAACATGTACATTTTATTATGTCAGCCGAGGAAAGATGGGACGTGAGCTGGCACTGCTGGAGCTCTGCTGGGAAGCTCCCAAACCCAGCGTGCAGCACACGGGCGTAGTAGTACCACACACGTCTGGCTCATGCCAGAACGTCACCAAAACCCTCCCACCCCCAAAAATCCTCATCTCGCTTTCAGTACGCACTAGGTTTTAGCTGGCTCTGGTGAATACATTAAAAAAAAAATATTCATCTGCAGCTACTTGAGTGAGTCCTAGGAAATAAGTCACCTTGGATAAGCCTGATTCACCCATACCTGAGGAGAAGGGAGCGGCGTGGCAAGGCAGGCAATGCCAACACTTGGGTTAGGGCTTTATTTTTGCCATAAGTCCTCAAATCCTTGAATTTTTAGCACAGACAGCACAAACCAGCACTCTGCTGCAGCCCAGCCCAGTTTTCTGCTCCTTGCTGGAGAAACTAGGCAAACCTTCCAGCATTTTTTGGAGCACAAGGGGAGTGTGCTCTGGGCTTCTGCCCAGCTGAAGCCAGGGTACCACCCCAGTCTTCTGCTTGAGTGTCAGGAGAAGCGAGCTCCAACACGGAAACATGGATATAAGCAGGATGCACATGCCAGGGAGGAGACACTCATGCTGACAGAGAAGGGAGGATGCCACCAGCATCCCCACGGTCAGTCTTGGTGCACACCTCCAGCAGCTCTCCACTTTCCCACTGCTCCTGGCCAGGGGACTTGAGCTGCCACTCCTCATGGCAGGTAAAACACTCACACCCCACTTGCCTGCAGCTTGCCAGGAAGGAGATCCTGTGGAAATGGAGGAAGCAATCGCTCTGTCCACAGGAATGGCAGCGCTCACACGCCTGTTCTTGGAAACGGAGGGGCCTCATCTGTATTTTTCCAACTCCCAGTAAATCAAAGCCCTTAAGCTGTTGCTGCTAATTCTGGCAGGAGTTGGGACACCAGCTGTGAACTGAGGCTTTGCTAACGGACAAAGGGCCTGATTGACCATCTTCGAGCATGTCACCAGTGCCCAGCTCCCACCTCGGGGCTGCAATCCCGACACATTTACGAACGTGGGCACTAGCAGATGAGAGCTGGCCTGACTTCCAACCTGTGGCATCCAAAGAGCAGCCAGGGACACCTGGTACCCATCCCTGAGCCCTGCAGCATGTGGCTGCACAAGCATCTCACGCACAGCTCCACCCTGAAGGAGAGCAGAGGGTCCAAAACGCCTGCAGCCCCCCGGGACGTGGCACCTGGTGGGTGCTGGTGCCCACCCTGCAGCAGGCAGTGTGTGCCAAAGTGCATCAGGCCAATGTGTGACCAGAGGCAGAATGGCTCCGTGCCCCTGTCCCCTCACAGCATGTCTGCCCGGGCTTCACCATGCACCCATGAACCAGGCAGCCACTCTGCACGCCTGGAAAAAGCCCCCAGGGAGCACAGGAACCAGCGGGAAGAAGAGAGCTGGAAAATCTCCTGAGGGTCTGGCAGCATCAGCGGGCAGGGAGAGCAGCAGGGAGCATCCTACCCTGTGCCAGGGTGGGCTGTGCCCAGCTGCACAAGGTCAGGTTATGCCATATTGTATCCCAGGATAGCAAACCAGGCTGAGCCAAATCGTGCCATGCTGAGCTGCACCTTCCTAAGCTGTGCCAGCCCAGGCTGTGCTGAGCCTTGCCATGCTGAGCTAGGGCCATGCTAGGCTTGGCCATGCTACACCCATCTGTGCTGTGCCAGGGCAAGCCATGCCCAGCTGGGTAATGCCAGGCTGAGCTGGCCCACGTTGTGCCAGTGCCTGCCCTGTGCCAAGCCATGCCATGATACGCTGAGCCAAGCAGTGCCAGCCATGCCACACCACGCTGGACCATGCCCAGCTGGGCCATGCTGTGCCACAGCCATGGAGCTCTGCCCTAAGTCCAGTGGGGCCGTGCCAGGCTTAGTTGAGCTGGGCCCTACATCCAGTCATGCCACACTGTGCCAAGATGAGCCAAGCCAGGCCCAGCCACAACATGCCAAGTCATCCCTGGCTGTGCCATGCCAGCGATGCCATGCTGGGCTGAGCCATGCCAAGCCCTGCACCCAGCCATAGTGTGCTAGTCTGCCCAACAAAGTCAGGCCAGGCTGTGCTTGGTGATGTCATGCCAGGCTGAGCCAGGGTACCCTGGGCTGAGACAAACTGTGCCCTGTGCCCAGCCATGCCCTGGGGTGCCCTACACCACACTGTACCTAAGGATGCTGTGCCACACTGAGCTACACTTTGGGATGCTGTGCTGTGCCATGCTATGCCATTCCCAGGGATGCTGTGCCATGCTATTGCCCAGAGGTGCTGTGCCATGCCGAGCCGTGCACAGGGATGCCACACCATGCCATGCTACGTCCAAGGATGCTGTGCCATCCTGAGCCGTGCCCTCAGATGCCCTGCAAAGCTCTAGGACGTTTAACCACGCTACGGACAGCGATGCTGACCCTGGCTGACCCATGCCACGTTTTGCCACAGTACTGCCCAGGGATACCACGCCACACCGAGCCGTGCCCGGGGACGCCCCGCCGTGCCCACCTTGAGATAGTCGTTCTCGGAGCGCAGGTCCTCCAGCTCGCGGAGCAGCCCGTCGGTGCCGGCGTCCAGCAGCTCCTCGGTGAGGTCGGAGAAGGCGAGCGAGGTGCTGAGCTGCAGGCGGCTGCTGGCCACGGAGGCGACCGAGGGCTCCTCGGGCAGCGGCGACGCCTCCCCGGCCGAGGGCGGCGGCGGCGGGGCGCTGCCGGGGGACTCGCCATCGCTGCCGCTCAGCCCCAGCTCCAGCGAGAGCAGCTTCGCCTCCTCCGAGGCGCTGCAGTCCGACACCTCCGAGCTGCTGTCGGTCAGCCCGGAGCTCGGCCCGGGCGCCGGCACCGAGCCGGGCACCGACGCCGCTCTCCGCGCCCCGGGGGCCGCCGTGTCGGCTCCGTGCCGCCGGCCCTTCGGCCGCGCCGCGCCGCGCCCCGCCGGCCCTTTACCGCCGGGGCGAGCCCCCGCCGCCCCCCGCTTCTCGGGCCGCCCGTCCTTGCCGCCCGCCCGCCGCGGGTGCGGGTGCGGGTGCGCTCCGCCCGCCGACAGCCGCGGGGCCGCGCCCGGGTGCCCCCCGGGGCCGCCGCGCCGGCTCTTGGCCAGCGACCAGCCGGGCACCTCCTTGGGGCGGGCGGGCGACGGCGCCCGCTGCGGCTTCTTCTTCCTCTCCGGGAGCGGCGGTGGAGGTGGAGGCGGCGGCGGCGCGGGGGGACCCGGCTCTGCCGGCTCGGCCTCCATCTCCCGCTGCGCTGCGCTGGGCTCGGCCCCGGCTGCGGCTGCGGCTGCGGCCCCGGCTCGGCCCCGGCTCCGCCCGCCGCCGCCGCCGGGCGGGGACGAGCGCGGGCGGCGAACAAAAGGCGGCGGAGGGAGTGAGGGGGAGAGCGGGGGGGGGTTGGTGGTGGTTGGCCGTGCTGGTGGCAACAGCGACCCCTCCGCCCGCCCGGAGCCGCGCTGCGAGATCCCACCCTGCCACCGCCACCCTGGAGCCCCGGCACCCCGCGGGGATGGGGTGTCACCCGTGGATGGGGGCATCCCCGATGGATGGGGCATGCACGGTTGTTGGGGGCATCCCCGATGGATGGGGTGTACGCGATTGGGGCATATATGGTGGATGACAGCATTCCCGATGGATCGGGGCATCCCTTATGGATGTGGGCATCGCTCATGGATGGATGGATGGTGACATACGGGATGCATGGGGGCATCCCCGATGGATGGGGCGTCCCCGATGGATGGGGGCATCCCCCATGGATGGGGCATTCCCGATGAATAGGGCATCCCCGTGATGAAAGGTCCCTCCTGGGTATCTTCCTCAGTGCGTGTCCTTAGGAAAGCCGTGTCAGGTGCCCCCAGTGTGCCCCTGTGGGTCCCTGGAGCATCCCTGGATGATGTCTGTCCTCTGCAGAGCGGGTCGCTGGGGTGCCCCTGCGGGGCAGAGTCACGCCGGGACAATCCTGGATGTGGGGGTTCCTGGGATGCCCCTGAGAGTAAGGGTCCCCCAGGACACATCTGGGGAAGAAGGTCCTCAGGGTGTCCTCAGCAGACCGAGTCCCCTGGGAGTGCCTGTAATTGCAAGTCCCCCGGGGCAGTCTCGGAGCTGAGGGTCCCCAGGGTACCCTGTGTGTGAGGGTCCCTGGGGCACCTCGGTGGGCGGGGGTCCCCTGGGGCAGCGCTGTAAGTGCAGGGCATCCTCGGACATGGAAGTCCCCCATGTACCCCGTGGGTGGGAGGTCCCCGGGGCCCCTCCTGGTGCCGATCCCCTGAGGCACCCCCATCTGTGAGGGTCCCCTGGGGCCCCCTGCCACGCTGCCCAGGGCCAGCTCGGCTGCCTTGTGAGCAGTCGGAGTGCGCACAGTGCCTCTCCGGGGGGCAGGCAGCAGCAGCGAGTGCCTCTTCCAGCCTGCTCCCACCCACCCGCCGCGTCTCTCGTACGTTACCAACCGGCCCCAAAGCCTCTGCGAGCATCCGAAGGCTGAGTTTGAAAAATGCTCCTCAGCTGTGTTTGTAAAATGCTCCTCTGTGCTTTCCCGCGCGGCAGCACTGCCGGCCGTGGCCTCGCCACGGGAAGCGATGCTGTGCCGTGTCATACAGACCCCCCGGCCCCCTGGCTGCTCAGATTCGGTTTGTGATGCTGGGCAGCGCAACCCCAAGGCAGTAGATTCTTCCCTCCAGAGGCAAACCCGAGCCTGGCTGAGGGGCAGAGCCCACCCCACATCTCGATCGGATTCTGCCCCAAATAAACACATGTGGGGGTTATCAGGGCTTTGCTCAACACCCCTCTCTGCTCAGGACACAGCCCCCTGCCCTCCCTGGGAGCCTCCCCAAGCACCAGGCACCCTCTGGGACACAGGGTGGGATTGCACCCCCTCTCTGCCCTAAACCAGCCATGCATCCAGCACAGGAAAATCAAGATTGTACAACAAACCCAGGCTTTCCTTGTAGGTATCACTCCCTCCTGCTTGTGACCTGGGCAAGGGCTACAAATCAGGTGGATGCCTCTGGTTAGAGCTTGCTGAGCCCCTGCTGTGGCTCTGTGAATCCTGAGGTGGTGGCTCCAGCCTGCCAGCATCCAATGATCATGACAAGGGGGATGCGGATGGAGTCCTCCCAGGAAGAGGTGGGAGGCTCGCTGTCCCATCCCATGCTGCAATACAGCCACTGCACTGGGGGAAGTTCCCTGGGCACTCTTGCCCTTTCCAGGATGAATCACAGCCACAGGTGCCATTTCCCAGGCTCTGGCATGTTGCCCGAACCCATCCCTTGTGGGAAAGCAGGTTGAGCAGTCACAAGTCCTGCCCAACAGCTTGGGGCACGAGGGATGGATGGAGGGTGGCAGGACCTGCCTTTCTGTACGTGCTGCAGAGCAACCCGTGCCCAGAGCTAACGAAGGCTGCCCTCCCCACAGCATCATTTCCAGAGCTGTGACTCAGTCCTGCTGCATGACTGCACATGCCCCCGAGCAGGACGTCAGGCCCTGACCGACTGGTGCTGCGCTCGTTAATGAAGATCATTAGTTTTCCTCTGAGCAGTGGCTAATTGCATAACACAAGGCACACCGTGGGCTGCCCTCCTGGAGCCACACAGCTGCAGGGGAGGCAGGGATGAAGGCAATGAAGGCAGCATGTCCCTGGCCTTGTTCTCAGGTACAGCTCCTAGGATGTCGTAAGAATGTGGCACACGACACACCCTCAAAATTGCTCGGGGTGAGCAAAGTAAAACTGCTTTCCTAGAGAGCAGCCTTCCTCTGGGATGCCCATCTCCAGGATCTGGATGGTCTCATCACTCACTGCCTGCTTGCTGGAGCTGGGGTCTCATCCCTGTGCTCCCAGCCTGGCTCTGGCTCGTCCATGTGGCCTCAGATTTCTGTGCCCAGTGGTGGATGTGAATCCCACCACAGCAGGAGGTGCATCCAGCAGTACCTGTGCATCCCAACGGGGATATGGCATCTCCCCACCTGTGCAGCACAGCCAGCTGGCAACAGGCTTGGGAGGCAGGTGAGGGCTGAGCCAGCCCAGTTCTGGGACTGCTGCCCGGGGACCTCGGCTCAAAGGCTGAAACAGGTTTGGGGTGGAAGTGGGAGGGATATTAACAGACCTCAAAACATCCCCTGGGGCTGGAGGCAGTGCAGGCAGCCAGGTTTAGAGCTGAGCCAAGTCTGCCCTGGGCCAGGCGCCTGGTCCTGCACTCCCCATCCCCTTGGCACCACCATGGAGATGTGCTGGAGGGGACAGAGCACTCCAGGGCTGAGGCCGTGCCAACTGATCTCATTGATGGTCTGTGGTAGTGCTTGGTCTTGAACTAGTTGTTCCCAGGAGAATTATTCAATAAATTTGAATTAAATGTGGGCAGGCGGCTTTCTGAAGCCTCTGAAAGAAAAGCAATGAGCTTAACCAGCCCCCTGGGCCCTCGGGAGGCCTGGCTGGCAGCCAGTCAGAGCCAGGATCTGGAGCTTCCCTGAGCAGCACAGAGGAAAAGGTCTGTTCTCTGAAGCCTGTGCCTCTGGAGATGGGGCTTGGGCTGAGCAGGATTCCCCCAGCCACTCAGCCCATCCTGGGGGGCACTGGGGCCCAGAAAGGGGACCAAGGAGAAGTGGCCAGAGGGAACATCACCCCACTGCACTGCAAAGCTTCCTTGAAAGGTGCTGGCTCCTGGCACAGGGACACCAACCCTGCAGATCCCAGAGCCACCTGTTACCCCCAGAGCCCTGGAGTCAATGGCACCACACTTGGTGTGGGCAAAGGCAGAAGCACTGCAGGGGGCTCAAGGGGACAGATCCCCAAATGTGTGTCCCAAGTGCAAAAGGCAGAGCCCAGGTGAGCACCAGGAATCAGCAGCAGGTCTTTGCACCTGAACACATTTCTGGGTCAGGCCCTGGGCTCTGCACACTCTCTGCTCCTTCTCTGGCTCTCAGTGGCAGTGCTGGCTTCTCTCCAGCCCTCTGATGAGGCTGTCAGGTGCATTTTAGGATAAGATGCTAAAAACCTTGTAGCAAAGAGCAGTGAGCCCTGGAGAGTGGCAGGAGGCAGAGCCTGAGCCCTCTGTCTCCAAAGGTGACAGCAGGACCCTGTGCAAACGGCCCAAGTTGTATTGAGCAAAGCTGAAAACCCCCTTAAACTGATGATTCTACAATTTCTTAGGGACAAAAGATTTAGAAATGGTTGTCGTGCTCAGCCAATGTTCAGCATCCCCCTTGTTCAAGCAGCGTTTGCATCTGCTATCAAGTACTTTATCCACACATGCACACACTGAATGACAAATATTCCAACTGTGTTATTTTTAAACACCTACATGCATTGCTTACTGTCAGAGCCATGTTCCCCCTCCCCAGTGCTGCTTCCATTGATGGGATTTTTGCTGCCAGGGAGGGTCCTGGATAGGGACACATAGCCACAGGCACAACCAGCATCCCAGGAGAGGCTGTGGGAGCAGAGGGGACCATGTGTGGCCTTCCATGCCATGCTCACAGCTGCAGGAATCACTTTGCTTTCCAGCTGTGGCACATCTGCTTGCAGAGCTGCTTGACACGATGTTGCATCAAGGACGGTCTGTGGCAACCATAGCAACGGGTCTGCCTTGGTTTTCCACCTTCCCGGGAAAAATGATACTGATTTCTCCCAAA